AGCACAGAGGTCAAATGTCCTTCAGAGCCTGGGAATTCCAGCAATTTGGGAAAATGGATCTGACCCCAAAAGCAGGTGTCTAAACCCAGGAATATTCCCAGTTCCTCAGGGAATGGGTCACTGCTGGGAGGTGACTCCCCAGGAGCTGCTGCACTTCCCAGCATTTCCATTAAAACTGGGGTTGGGATCTTCCTCCGTCCCTGTCGCTGCCCCACAGACAGGGGTGGGCAGAGGCTTTGCTGCCACAGGGGTTTGGGGACACCGGGGGGTGACACCATGACGTGGGTGACAGAGAAACATCCAGGAGCAGGACGAACAGCTCCAGGAGGGGCCCGTGGGGCAGGATTTGAGGGGTCTGAGGTGCTCGGGGTGTCCCTCCAAACCCGCGAAGACACGCACGTGTCACCCATCCTCACTCGTGTCACCAACAACACGATGGTCCCTTCAGACTGTTCGTTTTGCATTTCCAGCGGGGAGGAACAACTGCAGAGGGCACCAGCGAACCGCAGCAGAGCTGTGAGAGGAGCACCACGGCCCTGCCCGGGCTCCCGGAGTCCCAAATGTCCCGGGTTGTAAGGACTCGGCTCTCTCCACTCATGCCCATCACAGGGGTTGAGGTACCACAGCAGGAGTGTGGGCACCTGGGGTTTCAGCTCTCCAGAGGGAACCCGGGAAGTGCCTGCAGGGATGTGGGAGGAAGCAGAGACCCAGGAAAGCCCCCAGCCCGTGGAGCTGTGAGGATTCAGCCAGGGCAGGCACTGGTGGGCACCTCCATCCCCATCACAGCACCCTGCAAAGGGGGAGCATCCCAAGCCCAGGCTTAGCTCCTGCCTTGCCTCAAACCTCAGCACAACCACGAAGACAGACCATTCCCCCCTCCAATCCCCCCCAGGAAGAGCAGCATCATCCTTTTGCCCCTTCACTGGGCTCCCCTGCCATGCAAAGGGATTCACAGCAGCCTCTGGAATAGAAGGTTTAAAATCCCGTTTCCAACCCCACATCCCCAGGCTGAGTCCCTGCAAAGGAGGAGCAAACCGAGAGGTGGAGGGGCTGAATCCTACACCTGGGGGTCTCACCCACAGCAGGGCTGTGTGAGGGGCTCCTGGGGCTCCTCTGCAAACACTTTACACGGGGGAGTAACTGTTACTCACCAGAGATGGCAATGGAGCTGTTGCGTGTAGACACAGAGCTATTTTTAGCCCATAGATACTTCTAAATATTTACACCAGCCTGCTGAGCCTTCCCTCAAGTGCAGGGCTGGGGGAGTGGGGGCTGTGGGTCCTCCCTCCCCTCCTTCAGCACATGTGAAACAGTTTTATTTCCTTCCCAACAGAAATGGTTGCTCTGGGTGAGCAAACAGGCTGTACCTTGGTACCAGCTGAGGAACGAGGCAGCTCATTTCCCTCCCCTTCCTTCCCTCCTCCTGTTTTCTGCTGCTTTACTTCCCACTGGGAATGTCCCTCTGCAATGGGCAGTCCTGAGGTGGCCGTGACCTGCTGGAGCACTGGCTGGGATCAGCACCCCAAAGGGGTTGGATGGAGGCTGTTCCCACCCAGAGCAGCTGCTGATTAAAAGCCAAAAAACAGATAAACCAGCAAAATTCTTCAGCTCCTCTCCTTGCTGTCCTGGCTTTGCTGACCCTTGGGGCTGCCTGTGAAGCCTTTGTGTGTGGCACAAGGAGGTTTTAAGACCAGGAGAACACAAACCCATCTCTTATTCCTACCTATTCCCTGTTACAGAGCACAGATGGGAGCTGGGAGCTGTTCCTGGTCCCACTGGCCTCGCTGCCTCCCCACGTGCTCAGGTCACAGGCAGGACCAGGGGCCCTCCCTCGTCCTTGCAGCTGATGAAGGACTGATGACCCCTCTGGCTCTCTGGGAATTCAAATCCTCCAGCTGAGACCATCTGGGCCAGACAGAAGCACTTGGTGAGGTCTGAGAGCTGCAAACCACAGGTGCTCTGCAAGGAGACCCGATTGCCCCCGGAGCCGCGGAAGCGCTTTGAGTGTTCCCGTGAATCCCAGACACAAACAAGCTCCTCCATAAGTGCCTCCTGCTTCCCAAGTAGTGAGCTCCCTTCCTTCCTGTCTCCAGGATGGAAATGTCTGGAGGTGACCAAGGCAGGCACAAAGGTCTGATTTCTGATCTGAAGCCAAAAGCCTCTGACTCCTCTCAGAGAGGCTTTCAGGAGATCATGGAATCATGGAACAGTTTGGGAGGGAATGGAGTGACAGGACAAGGGGGAATGGCTTCCCACTGCCAGAGGGCAGGGTTAGATGGGATATTGGGAAGGGATTCCTGGCTGTGAGAGTGGGGAGGCCCTGGCACAGGTTGCCCAGAGGAGCTGTGGCTGCCCCTGGACTCCTGGAAGTGTCCAAGGCCAGGCTGGAAGGGGCTTGGAGCAACCTGGGATAGTGGGAGGTGTCCCTGCCCATGGCAGGGGGTGGAACAAGATCATCCTTAAGGTCCCTCCAACCCAAACCATTCCATGACCCTATTTCAAACATCTTTTGATCCATAAGCCCTTTCCTCCTTCCTTTCCCCCCACTGCAGCAGCTGTGTCTGAATAACATCCTGCTTGTGTTGAAACAATAAAAGCATCTTTAAAAGAAGAAAAAAGGCATTTCTATACCCCATCTAACCCTTCCCTCTGTCAGTGGGAAGCCATTCCCCCTTGTCCTGTCACTCCAGGCCCTTGTAACAAGTCTCTCTCCAGAGAGACTCCCTGTAAGTGTCTCATTAAAAGAAAATGAAGCAAGATGTGTGTTATCCTCACTGATAATGCAGTTTCTGTGCTGGTGGGAGGCCTGGCTTGTTATGTGGCTACAAACCAGACAAAATGCCCTTCCAACAGACTCCCACACTATGATCCAACCTCCTCCAGCCTCAGTGCCCACCTGACGCCTCCACAGGCTGGCCACTGTCGGGTTCAGGGTGCTGTGCATTAAATCCAATCCTGCTGCTCCCGGTCCAAGTGCTTGGGAAAGGGCTCAGCCCTTCCCAGAGGGACACCCGGCCCAGGGCTGTGTTGTGACAGCTGGAGGTCACAGCAGGGCTGGGGTCACCACTCTGCAAACCTCAGGGCTCCCAGCCCGGCGGGGTCAGCCCTTCTGGAGACACACAGGATTTGGGGTTGAAACGGAAAGGATTTGGGGTTGAAAAGGAAAGGTTTCTGGTTGAAAGGAATAGGTTCCCCCTGGCTGCTGCAGTTCCCTGTGCCAAAGAGACACAGCCTTGCCAGGAGCACAGGGACACGAGGTGCTGGTGGGCACTGGGCTCCGCCATGGACTGGTGCAGTAGCTTGGCTGAGTCTCCCACAGGAAGGATTATCCTGTGCCCTCATCCCGGCTGTGGATGGGACCCTGCACATGGACAGGCACTGCAGGAGGGGCTCACCTGGCTGGGTACCCCTGAAATGAACTGATTTGCAGAACTGATTCACCCCATCGACCCAGCTCACATTTTAACCAACAAATCCCAGTTGCAGAGGGCCGCTGGAAATGATTTTCAGATGCAAACCAATCCCCCTTCCTGCTGCCAGGGCCTCAACCACCCCCAATCAACTGAAAACCCCCTCAAAATTCCCTGAGGGAAAGAGAAACTGTGAAACCCACTTGTTTCCTTCAGTAACTGTTTAATTTACCACACTCGTGAGCTGTGGCCATGAGACCCCAGCTCAGGGGCTGTCCCTCAGCAAAGCTGGGAGGGGACGGAGGGAGCCAGGGAGAAGGAAACCAGGACTGAACACAGGCTTTTGGAACATAAAAAATTTACACCATGTTGGAAAGGCATAAAACACAGATGGTGAAGTCATGGGTGTGTTTTACATACACATCACACACAGGAATTTCCATTTAGGGACTGAGTGTTGCTCCAGACAGGTGATTAAACATACCTGGAGCTGTGACCCGGGATGGGCTCTGGCCTGGCCCTGCTCAGTGGGTTACCCTCCTGATCCCCCAGTTTTTGGGCATCCTCCACAGCCTGAAGAGTAATAGGGAAAGGAATTCCTACTTGAATGCTCCTGCCCTTCTCCAGGGACCAACCTACCAGCAAACCCTTCCCAAGATAGGGAGGGATTCCCACACACTGCTCTGGGAAAGGAGCTGTGCCTCATACAATACTGGATATTCTAGTTAAAAGTCAGCTAACCTTAACAGAGGGGACTCTAGATAAGCAGGAAAAAAGGGGGTTAGCTTGTAAGAACACAGAAAAACACCTTAAACAACCATTACGCTGCTACACATACAAAAATCCAGGGGTTAGCACTTGGCTGCCCACGAGGGAGGGGATGTGCTGCTCACCACCATGGCCAGAGCAGCTTCCCTCTCCTTCCCAAAGACATGCAAGGGAATGTGCTGCTGGACTCCAAACCCTGGGGTCCCTGATGATCCCCTCTGCTCCAGAGTGACACAGGCAGTGGCTCTGGCAGAGAAAGCCAGCGGTGGGGACACAGGGTGTGGAGCCCAGCACAGCCCTGACTGAAGCCAAAACTCGACTCCTCTGCCCTGCTTCCATTTCTTACATTAAATGTACTTAGCTTCAGTAAACATTTTAATGAAAATTACAGGAATGGGTTGCCAGCTTCAAGTCCCTTAAGGAAGAAAAGAGTCCCTACCCCAGAGGGTCGGCGGAGCCGGTGGAGTGCTGGATGCTCACTTCAGAGATACAAAAACAGTAAAAAAAGTCAAGGTTTGTGCTGGCCAGCCAACACCTTCAAGAGGCTGAAAAGGTCAAATGATAGCACCATAAGCATTTCTGGGAGGTGTCCCCCGAATTACTGCTGCGTTGGTTCCCTTCCCCAAAATGCTCCCCCGCTGGGCGCCCAGGGCAGCAACCCCGCCGGGGGTCCCGGCAGGACCCGGCCCCAGCCCAGCCCAGCCCAGCCGATGGTTTGAGCACCGTTACAGAGTGGCACGACTGAAGACACCGGGGCTGTCCCGGGACGAGGCAGAGCCGCCGGTCCCGGCTGTGCCCGGGAGCCCCCTGGCACCGCTCCTGTCACCTCCTGGACAGCCGCTCGTCCCCGCGGTCCCGGCCGGGCCGGCGGCAGCTCCGGCAGCACTGCAGACGCACCGTGGGCAGGGGGCACCGGCCCAGCAGCCGCAGGGTCTGGCAGAAGCCGAAGGTCAGGCGGTCGCGCTCGCAGGGGACACCTGGAGGGGAGGGAGGGGACAAGGGCAGTGTCAGCGCCGGTGTCACATCACCGCTGACGTGAAAAATCTCCCAGCACGTGGCAAGAGTCGGAACGAGATGGTCTTTAAGGTCCCTTCCAACCCAACCCACTGGAGGATTCTGTGGGAGCTGGCACAGGCACAGACAGAGCTCCCCAAACGCGGAGCCCACCTGCACCTCGGTATTCCTCATTCCCAGCATCAACAACCCTGCAGCTCCATGGCATCCTCCCAGGGCAGCATCCTTGCCAGGGAGTGGGGCTGAGGTGCAGGGGGACAAACCTCCCCACACTGACTCCTCCTCCCTGTCCCCAGACCCCCCCAGTGCTGGCAGAGCAGCAGAAAGGCCAGAATTCCTTTTTTCTGGGCATTGTTTGGGTTATTTCGAGAATCTGCATCATCTGGTTTGCTTCCTGCAGGTGTCCTGCACACCCCAAAACAACTCTGGTGCTGCTCCAAGGACAGGCTTTGTTTTGGGAACCGCTGCTGGGGGGCAGTGCCCGGGCAGCTGCAGCAGCAGCCGTGGTGGCCACAGCCCTCAAGTAACCCACAGCCACAGCCCAGCCACCTCCCTGAGTCACCCACGGGCTGAGCAAACTTTGCAGGAGCTGTTTCCTCTCTGCAAACAGTCTGGAAATCACAGATCCCAGTCCAGGACCAGGAGTGCCAGGTCGGGGGGGTTGGGTTCACAGCGAGGGAGACTCGAGTGCTGCCCCAAAGAGACCTTGTCCTTGGGGTGGGAGAGGGTGGAACATCCCAGCACCCTGAAACACCCTCACACCTGCTTCCATGTGCACCCCACGGGACAGCACGGGGCATACATCCCATGGGATGGTGTGGGAATGTGGCAAACAGGGGACAGCCCTCTCCTGCACCATCAGCAGCTCCCAGCTCCACCACCAGCCACACCAGGCTCAGCCAGGCTGCACCTCAGCTGAGCCACAGCAGAGACCCATCACCAAACACATATAGTTCCTATGGGTATACAGCTGGTTTCATTTTTAATTTCCTCCTTTTCTGCTGTATCTCCACACAAGCAGCATCTCACCCAGTTGGGCAAGACTCGCTTGAATTACATCAGCTCTGTCTGATTTTGCCTCCTGTACAAATAACGTAAATAAATGTCAGCTTTTCTCTGGAAAAGGGCAGAGCTGATGCTCCCCTGGGCTGGCACCCCCCGGTCCCCTCACACTGCCCCTCCCCGGGCACCCTCCACCAGGACTACACTGAGCAGGGGCAGAAGTGGGGCAGGAAATGGGTTTTTCTCTTTCTCAGGACACTTCTCTGCTCAGGCAACACCAGGACCGAGCCAGGGGAGCTCTCACTGACCACTGCCCCTCACCATGTCCCCTCTGGGAACAAAGGCTGTGCCGAGGGAAAGGCTGCTGCCCCGATTCCCACGGGATGAGCCGACCCCGGCGGCAGATGCAGAGCAGAGACTTCTCCCCCCATTTGGGATTTCAGCCACAGCCCCCTCCCCCAGCCCAGCAGTGAGGAGGTCACTCTAAAATTAATTTTCTATTTCAGCTGAGGTATTTCCTCTCCTCCTCCCGAGCTGCAGCTCTCTGTGCCCGGCAGGGGTGTCCCTGTGCCCCCAAAGCCATGGATCCCCCGCGCTGCTGGATCCAAGAGCTACCGATGGAGAAGGACTGAGTGGATCCAGGCTTCACATCACCCCCCCAGCCTGGGGGCTCGCTCCAACCCCTGGGGGCTGGGACAATGTGGATTTTTCCTGCTGGTTGAGCAGAGTGGATAAGAAATCTCTGTACAGCCCAGCAAGGGCCAGGCCAGGAGCACATCCCAAACCTGCCATGAGAGCACCAGAGCCGGAGGGAAAAGGGAAGCATTTGCTCATGCGATGCTCCCTCAGGGTCTCAGGGATAATATTCCCTGGGAGCAACCTTATGGCTCCACCTGGCATTCCCTGAACCCCCAGGGCCCTTTTGCACTGGGACATGGGAGCACAGCAATACATGTATCCCCATGTGCACACACTGCTGGTGTGCTCGGGTGTAGCTGCAGCAAAGCCCCAGGGAGAGGAGGACTCGGCTAAAAACACCCCACGGGTGGGTGGGGATGTCCCCATCCCTGCTCAGGGGGTGCCCAGGCCAGGCAGACCCCCAGGAGCCCCTCAGTATTTTTAGCCCTCTCTCCTGCTCACTCCACTTATCGCAGCTTCCTAGGAAGTTATTTATGGATCCCAACCAAGCTGCCTCCTGCCTTCCCTTGAAAGAGCCCTGCAGGCTGCTGGGGCTCGTGCTGGGAGGTCGCTTTCCAGGACTGGAGTGAGGGTTCAGCTCTGTCCTGCTCCCTGTCTGGCAGGGCAGCACCCCGGGAACGGGCAGGAAATTCTGGTCCCTGCGCTGCCCGGGCAGAAGGAGCCCATCCTGCCCAGAGTCACTGCTCTTTGTGCACCACCTTATCAGCACAGGAATGAGGTTACTGTGGAAACAGCCGGGATGGGCTTGGAGAGGGTGGGGAAGAGCCACCTCCCTTGGCTGGAGGCTCTGCTGACCTCACAGGAGACCCCTGCGGGACTCTGGGTCCGAAGCAAAACGAACTCATGGAATCACAAAACACCTGAATGGGAAGGGACCCACAGGGATCATCGAGTGCAACTCCTGGCCCTGCCCAGGAGACCCCAACAATCCCACCCTGTGCTGAGAGCGTTGTCCAAACGCTCCCAGAGCTCAGTGAGGCCAAAGGGAGTCTCTGAGTTGCCGAGTTCTCATCGCTTTCCCAGCCCCGTGCTCGGGGCCGAGGCAGCGTCTCAGGGTGGATGTGTGTGGGGTCAAGCTCAGGTCTGACAATCTTGGCTGGGCTCGTGATTCCTCCCTGGAATTTGGTCTTGGGCAAGGGAAGCTGTACTAAGCACTTGATTTGTCAGCTCTTCAGAGAGGGCCTGATTTCCATTTCCATTTAATCCTTTTACTGTTATTTTTTTCTATTAACAATTTTTTTATATAATCCTCACACTTCATTTGGACACATGTACCATAAGTCTATGCCAAATTTTAGGCTAAAGAAATAGCTTAAAGAGGGGCTTTAAAAATCCAGGCTAAGTCAGCACATTAGAGAGTGAAAACCCCCACTTTTTTGGGGGTTGTTTTTTTAAGGTCAGCTTGGAAGTCGCTTTAAATTTCATTTAAGCTTCTGCCACCCAGACCTAAGCCTTTACTTCTATTCTCGGGAAAAATAAACTTCCTGGAACAGGTTTTGTAAAAACAAGGAAAGGTTGAGCTTCGAGCTGAGCTAGCAAATCCAGGGAATTAGGCTGCTGACCTCTGGCCTTCGGGATGCTCTCAAAGCCAGGGCCAAATTTAACAAACAGTATCCCAAGGTCCTGCTCCAGGGCCATGGTGCCCTCCCCTGTGGTCCCTGGTCAGCGTGATGGGATGCATGGGATGCACCCCCAGTGCCAGCTTTGCCTGCACAGACTGGCACTGACACGGCCAAACTGGGAGAAAACCACAGCCCCCCCAGTTCTCAGGTGTCAGCCCTGCTGTGGGCAACATCTTTCTCCCACATTTCATCAAAACAGGGAGTCCTTTCTCAAGCATCCCTTTCCCACTGACTCCAGTTGTTAATTAGCAGTTAATTAATTGCCCTCAATGCCTCACTCGGCAGCACCTCCCTGCCTTGCCCCTGGGATAGGGACTTCCACGCTCAAATGACAGAGAAAATTGGAATTTGCTGCAATTATTTCCCTTATGGATCCCTTGTGGACAAACTCAGCGACATGCAGAACCATGAACAATTCCATTTCCTTACTCAGAGCAAGCAGGAACACAACGTTTAATTGCCAATTAATCTTGAGGCAACCAGAAGCAAAGCCAGCCCTGGGTCAGGGGCCCGGTGTCCCCTCACCCCACACGATCCTGTGCTGGCTGTCCAGGGACACAGGGCTGAGCTCCACCCCACTGCTCTGTCCCCCCTTCCCAGAGCAACTGCACCAGTTCACACACACTTGTCCTCGAGCCAGCTGAAGGCTTGACCTCATCCCTTTGGTATTCCAAGCTGAGACACCTGTGGGACAGTGCTGGCTTGGCTGGAGCCAAGACCTGGCCCCATCACCTGCCTGACACCTGCTTGGAGAGAATTTGGGGAGCTCACAGACTGCCCCCAGTACTGGATCCAGGGAATGGGCACAAGGGAAATGATGAATTTTATGGCATGACCCCAATGAACCCCCCAGGGGCTGCCTGTGCTCTGTGCCAAGCAGGGCTGTGTCACCATCACCAGGGTCTGCCCAAAAGCCACTGTCCTGGCACGGCCACCGCCCCACACCAGCAGAGTGACCAGCTCCGTCCACCCCTTGGCTTCCTCTCCCACAGACAGCAATTCCTGCTTTTCTGGGTTAAAACTATTTGATCTGCTGCATAAACTGGTGCTGATTTCTCCAAGCCCTCACGTGGGGCCTGGGGCTCAGCTCCTTTCCAAGATGCTGTAAACAATTCCCTGATAAACCTCCACAGCCTCTGGGACATCCCACGGAGGCATTGGGGTGCCCACAGGCTCTGATGCTCCCCAGGAGCCATCTGAGGACACACTCACAGCTGGCTGCAGCTGGAAGACAACAGGCACATTCAAAAATAACCTTGGTGTAATCTTCAATTAATTTATAACCTGGCAGAAGCACAGGACTCTGGTTCTAATTAATCCCGACCTCCTTTAATTGAGGAGCCGATTGCTGTGAGATGTTTGTTTGTGCTTCATTTGTTCCATCTCGGCTCAAAATCCATCTGATAATGGTTTGAACATTCAAACCCTGCTGGGGTTTCTGTGGCATTTCTGTGTCCAGTGAGGACACAACGGCTCACAGACCCAGCCATGGCTCTGTGGTACTGGAGCACCTCGTGCCAGAGGAGGGAGAGGCTCCTTGTGCTCCTAAGGAAAACAGGGATCGCTCCAGCCTGCATCCATCTTGTGCAGTAAAGATCCTTTAAAACACAGGAAAGGGCTGCAGTTACGTTCATGCCTTTCTGGGAGCCTGTGGATTTACACATCTGGGATTTCCTGCCATGTGAAAGTTTTGTTCCCCTTCATGCTTTGGCTGGAAAGGTTTGTATTTCCAAGAGGCGTTTCCTGCCCTGGGCTGCAGCCAGAGCGTTTATGTCATTTTTGATCCAGGATTTTAACATTTATTTGTGTGCTTCCTACACATCTCAGTGGTTATTCTGGTCCAGCCTTGGCTCCATGGCTCTCATCACCAAGCCCGGCACGGAAATTTTCCCTTTATAAAAATAGCCGGAACCGCACATCATTTCTTGAGCGAGGCTGACTAATCATTTCCTAAAGGCTGGAGAGCCCCACGGCCCTGCAAAGGCTCCAAAAAGGAGCTGCTTAATGGCTAAAAACATCCCGATGGCCAGCGGTGCCAATCCCCAAATCCCACTGAATCAAAGCCAAAGCTCCTGCCCTCTCTGCAAGAGGAGTCAGGAGGAACGTGCTGGACACGGGACAAACACAGTTGGAAGGGTGGGAATGGCTGTCCCAGGCTGCAGAGGGGACCTGCCCCGAGGTGTGGAGCAGCCATGGATCCAGCTCCTGCACCCTGGGCATCGGGCACTGCTGCCCTCCTGCCCACCCGCTCCATCCCTCAGCCCTCTCTTTGTCCAACAGACCTCCTGAGGGGCTAACATTACTTTCTGGGCAGACAAAGAGCTTTTTTTTTGCACAGACACATTAGAAAGATAAAGCTGATAAATGATTGACATGCTCATACCAATGACATCCAATCCCTCCTCATAATGCTTTTCCTTTAAGTGCCATTAACCCTTGCAGCCCCCGGTTTCTGGCTCACAGGGAACTGCCTGGTGCCATGGGATGCACCTCTGGGAGTGAAGGGGTGTACTGTGGCTGCAGCCAGGGCAGGGAAATGAAAGGTGGGTTGAAATGGGGCTGTCACCCTGAGGCACCTGCTCAGACACACCTGAAGAGGCTGGAGAACTGGCCTTTTATCTGGTTTGATAATGCTGGCCCAGCTTGTTCCCTAAGTTCTGTGTTCTGGGACTTTACCACCAGGCAGCTTTCTGAGAGCTCCATCACTGGCCATTTCCTTCTGCCTTCCTTTGCCTGAATGCCACGTTGCCCCTGAACCAGGTCCCTTCACCCCACAGCCCCACCAGGGTCCCTGGGGTGGATGCTGGTTGTCCCAGTGCTCGGGGACACTTCTGCATCCGACAAGCACATCCCAGCCCCCATCTGTGCCAGTGAAATCCCCGCCCGGCCCCGGAGAGACGGATGCTCCGGACATGTAGAGATGGTTATAACATTCCCACTTAATTATCGATTAGTCAAGCCAGCCTTACACAATCCATGTATGAAACACCCCTCCCATCTTCCCATAGAGTTCCCACACTGCTTCTCAGACTGGTTTTCCATCCTCCCTGATCACTCCTTGCTGCAGCAGCCCCAGTTCTCTGGCAGCACCATGAGCACCCTGTGCCTGTCACCCTTCCCTGTGCCTGGACCCCTGGATCCTCCCAACACTCAGCCCATCCCACCCTGCACCAGCACTGGTTGCACAGCACTTCCTGGAGTCCCTTCCTGGGGTCCCTTCCCAGGAGCAAGACAGCACAGGGCATGACCTGCCCTGGAAAAGTGAATGGAGTGGAGCTGGTCTGTCCCCACTTCTGGAGTCCTCCCATGAACCATCCTGGGGGGATGGGAAGTGAGAAGTGGGGAGAAACATAAAGAATGAGGCTAAACTTGGCTAGAAAAACCATCCCTGGTTACAGGACCCAGGACGGGTCATGCTCCTACAGTTCTTGAGTCCTTAAACGGGAGCCTGGGTGGTTCCCACACCAATCCCCAAGATCACCACCATGCCCTCAAAACTCGGCATTTGTCCCAAGAGCTCCACAAGCTCCTGGGGAGCACAGCCTATGGACACAGCACTCAGTGGCAGCACAGGCAGGAGGCCCTGGCATCGCTCACTTACCTGGCTCCGAGCTGTCACAGTCCTGGGGGTTGCACTTCTGGGTGCTCTCGGGCCAGGGCTCGTGGTCACACAGACTGCTGTCCTCCTCGGCCACCCCTGTCTTGGTGTTGATGCACTTGACCTGGCGCCTCTGGATGCCCCCTCCACAAGGAGCAGAGCACTGCGGGAGCAGGGACCCCATCAAGCCTGGGGGACCCCTCCCTGTACCCCTCAGGGCCACCCCAGGGCCACCCCAGAGCCCGGGAGGTGGTTGTGGCAGCAGCTCCCCCGTTGGTTTGGAGGGTTGGGTTTCCCCCCATCCCGTTCCTCGTGTTTCCCGCAGATCCCATGGAGGGGAGCCCATGCCCGCTCACCTCCCCCCAGGAGCCCCTCACCTCCCCCAGGAGCCCCTCACCTCCCCCCAGGAGCCCACCACCCAGGTGGTGCAGGGCTGTGTGTTGCAGGGCCGGGTCGTGTTGGGCCGCGAGGTCTCCTCGCAGCGCCCGAGCTCCGGACACGTCACGAGCCGCTCCTGCTCCCCTCCACCGCACGACTCCGAGCACTGCCGGGACACAAACCACGGAATGCACCGTCAGGATCCCAGGGCTGGAGCCCCTCTGCTCTGGAGCCAGGCTGGGAGAGCTGCAGGGGTTCACCTGGAGAATAAAAGGCTCCAGGGAGACCTGAGAGCCCCTTGCAGGGCCTAAAGGGGCTCCAGGAGAGCTGGAGAGGGACTTAGGACAAGGACCTCAAGGGACAGGACAAGGGGGAATGGCTTCCAGGGTTAGATGGGATATTGGGAAGGAATTTTTCTCTGTGAGAGTGCTGAGGCTCTGGCACAGGTTGCCCAGAGAAGCTGTGGCTGCCCCATCCCTCAAAGTCCTCAGGAAGTGTTCCAGGCCAGGTTGGACGGGGCTTGGAGCAACCTGGGCCAGTGGAAGGTGTCCCTGCCCATGGCAGGGGGTGGGATTTGCTGAGCCCCCTCCCCAGCCCCTACCTCTCTCCAGGAGGACGTGTACCAGTCCAGGCAGGGCGGGTTGTGGCAGGGCAGCTGTGCTGGGGGTTTGTGCAGCATGGCCTGGCAGTGGAAGGGCCGCAGCAGCCGCTGGTCCCTGGTGTCGACACAATGAACATCCCGAACCTTCGTCCCCTCACCACAGTTCTTGGAGCACTGGGAAAGGACACGAGCATCACGCTGGGGAAGGGCCAGGCTGTCCAGGAGCCCACCCAACCTGATCTTTCAAGCCACTTTTATTTAGCTTTTGCAAATTCCTGGCCCAAGAGCAGGAAAAATGGAAATATTGTGGGATGAAGAAGTTTAAACTCTGTGGCAAGTGCAAACCCTCACCCTCTGCCTTTCTGAGCCGTGGGACAAGAGCCTACCCCGAGAGCAGGGGTGACCCCACACCTGCCTTGCCCCGAGGGGTGTTTGGGACCCTCCCTGCCCGTGTACCTTGCTCCAGTTGCCCACACGCCACGAGGAGCAGGGTCTGAGGGAGCACCTCCGCGCAGGGACGGGTCTGTCGGCCGAGGCACAGCCGTCGTCGCTGCCGCTGCTGCAGCGCACGCTCCTCCAGATCGCACCCACACCGCACGTGGCCGAGCACTGCAACACAGGGCAACCTGCTCCTCTGCCACCCCACACCCACACCCACAGCCCGGGGCTGCCTCTGGCCGAGGGTGGAGCAGGGTGGCCCAGCAGAAAGGTCCCTGTGCACTCAGCTCCTCCACGGGCAGTGGGAGCAGTGCTGGTTAAACTGGGCTGGGGGATGATGTGGGAAGAGGAGCTTTCCTGAAGGCTGCTCCTCTCTGAGCAGTCCCACGCCAGGCAGCCCTCAGGGAAAACCCTCCCCCATACCCCATTCCATGTTAGTGGGACTCAACACGTACCTCACTCCAGTTCCCAACTTCCCAGCTGGCCATGGCAGTGGCTGCCGCGGTGGTCGATGGTGGAAGCAAAGCCTCCTCCTCCTCCTCCATCCTCTTCTCCCAGAGCGGTGGGGGAGCAGGGGAGGGCTGGGACCACTTGTGCCCCCTGTCACTGAAGGCAAATGTCCCTGGGGGTGCCCTGGGCTCCCCTGGCACGGTGATGCTGAGTGGGGTCCCGTGGGAGGTCTGTTCAGCACGGGGCGATGCCGGCTCTGGGGGGTGGGACATCCCCAGGGTCCACCATTCCCAGGGGGCCTGGGAGGGGGATGCTCCCGCTGGGTGTGCAGCTGGGCTGTGAGATGGGGCCGTGGGCATGGCTGGTGCCAGGGCATCCTGCTGGGTGAGGCTGCTGGAGCTGAGCTGGGTGGCTGGTCCAGGCACAGTGGAGGACAAGAACACTGCTGTGGGAAGGGCTGTAGTGGCCACCCAGGGGGCTGAGCTCAGGGATGTGGGGGTGTGGAGCTCTGGCTGGTGCCCTGCCTGCCCCGTGGGACCCCCAACAGCACCCACGGGAGAGGGACTCACGGCAGGATGGGTGCTGCCAGCACTCCATCCCATCTCCCACCCTGGTCCCTGCAGGGTGGGGAAGGAAAGATCTGCTCTCTCTGTCCCACGGGAATGCTCATCATTACCATCTGATGGCACTGCCTCTGTGCCCACCACCCATCCCGGCACTTCTGCCCCCCTGTCCTGCTCCGTGGCGTCACCGGTAGTGTCACCAGGGAGGACAAGACCCGTTTCCCTGGAGTCCTCGAGGCCTGTCCCCGCAGACCCGGCCCCATCGTGCCCCTCCCTGCTGGGGTGACCCAGCCCCAAACTGCCCACAGGGCCCTCGAGGCTCCCGGGCACTCCGGGAATGTCGGATACCTCCCCCCTGGCACTGCCCCGGGCTGTGGGCAGTGGAGTGGGGGGATCAGCTGGGTGGGGACCCCAGGGACTGAGGCCATGGGCTGGAGCATCCTGCCCAGGACCTGTCCTTGTCAGCACAACTCCGTGGGGCTCATCCGGGGCCGGGTGGCCGTGGCTGTTGGCAGAGCTGTGACTCGTGGTGCGCTGGGTGTGTGGGTGGTCCTCGGAACGGGGCACCGGCACTGGGCCCTCCTCACCCAGGAACCCAGGGATGGTGTATTTGGGAGTGGCTGATCCTGCATCCTCCGGGACCACGCTCAGGAAGTCATTCCTGGCTAAATCCCCAGGCTCCATCTCCCCCTCATCCACAGGAGCAGAGGCTTTGGTGCCCAGATGGTGCTCTCTCTCTCCTCCCAGCTCAGTGGTGAGTAGGACATCAGTGGGCATCTCCCAGGACCCCTCCACATCGTTGTTGCTCAGCTCTGGCTTTGCCTCCTCACCTTTAGTCCCCTTCTCCGTGAAGGGATAGTAAGACAGATCCTCGTGGAAGTTGATAAAATTATAATCATAGTAAAAATCATCGACAAAGACGTTTCCCTTCCCGGCTGGGAAGTCCTCCTCAGGGATGACATTGACGTCGTTGGACTCGGGAATGTTTGGGATGAGGGGGTTAAATTTCGCAATGTGGTTGCTGGGGACGTGATGGATCTCATTGAATATCTCCCTGCTGGAGGAGCCGCTGCCAGACCAGTCTGCGTTGGCAGTGTCCGTGTTGGCAGTGTCCGTGTTGGCAGTGTCCGTGTTGGCAGTGTCCGTGTCCGGCTGGCACGGGGGCCGGGAGCAGGGAGCCTCCGGGCGGGGCCTCTGCGCAGGGTCACACGCGGCCCCCGAGCTGTTGCTGCAGTGGACAGGGCGCCACTGGGTCCCATTGCCACAAGTCACCGAGCACTGGGGAGGGAAGAGGGAGGGAAACGTCAGGGATGGGGGCAGGGGGGCTGCGGGGCGGCAGGAGGAGCAGGGATGGGGAGGGGGTTGGCAGCAGCACCCGTGCCCCTCACCAGAGCCCCCCTCTGAGAGGCCAAAGGGGGTGCTTGGTTGTCCCATGTGCCACGAAGTTTTGGGCACAGGGGCTCCACGTTGCTCTGCCACACTCCCACCACCCACCCGGGTCCCCAGGTGCCTCCTGTGCCATTCCCACTGGTGGCAGGGGGTCCCCTGCACCAGGAGTCAGGAGCAGGGAGGACTGGTGCCACTGCTGCCCAAATTGAATTCTGGGGCTGTGTCCTGTTAGAGACCGTCCCTAGCAGGGCTGGTGTTGATGGGTACTTTGCTCAGGGTGATCCTTGACCTGCACTCCAGCCAGAAACAGTTTTCCCGGGAGATGGGCACTGGGAGAGGCACTGGATAAGATGATCTAATAGGCCTTTCTTATGACCTATCGCCATGAATTGCATCTCTTCTTCTAGAAAAGCATTTTTTGAAGCAGGGAATAACAACATGGGTGTTGTCTGAGTAGGGAAAAGGCAAAGGTCAGTAAGGAGCTTTGTGGGGGACACCCCGGCCCCACCATAATAGGCTCTTTCAGACGGGTCAGTAAAAAGAAACCAAGAGGCTGGAAAGATCAGCAGCATTTTCTGCTGCATTTGGGCCTTGGAGCAACCTGGACTTGTGAAAGGTGTCCCTGCTTATGGCAGGGTGTTGGCATGAGATGAGCTTTAAGGTCCCTTCCCACTCAAACCATTCCAGGATTCTCTGATAACACCACGTGGCCACCACAGGCATTTCCACCAGCTGGAATAAAACATTACCCCACACCAACATCTGTGAGAGGGCTGCAAGGAGGCTGCTTTCCCCCCCTGGGATGGCACTGCCAACCCAGGGAAAACAGATCAACTCCCACAAAGCTAAAATCTCCCAGCAAAGGCCTCCAGCTCCATCCAGGAGATAAACTCCAGGTATGGCAGTGCTTGCAGGGGGGAAGCAGGGGGTTATTTGCCAAGGCTGGGTTATCAGGGAAGCCTCTGGGACACAGATAAGGAATGAGGGCTGGTAGGAGCCTCGTGGAGGAACACACAGAGCTCACAGGAGGGCTCAGCCTTGAGCAGGAGCCACCACAGCCAGCTGGGTCATGCTCCTGCCAGGAGAGAGACGCTCCCCCTTGGGGACTAATGGACAACAAATCATCCTGACTGCACCAACTTCCTTGGAAAGTCCATAAAGCTGGATGTGCATTGCTTTAGGTTCCTTCTGAAGGCACTAAGTCCTGGTGTTTAAGCAATTTGCTGGGCTACCCAAACCCCAGAGAACCCCTTTGGTGTCGGGTGCTCTGGTGCCGGACAGGCACACGCGTTCCCGGGGTCTGCACGGACAGAACCAGCCCCAGCCCCTGCTAGGAACTGCTGCCAGAGGGACCACGTTTCTGGGAAACTTCAAAGCCCTTCTCATTCCCCTACTTACAGTGGTGGTGGAAACAGAGAAAAAAAGATAGCTCTTGCTTTAAATTAAAGGACAGGAAAATGACAGAATCCCAAAATCCTGAGCACTTTTCTCCTGAGCTCACAGACCTGTCCATGCCAACACCACAGAGGACAACTGTGAGGGCTGGGGCTGGCCCTGCCCAGCACTGACCCACCACCAAGCCATGATTTTCCCGTTAAACCATTGCATCCATCTCTCTCAGCCCTTAATTTTGGCTTTTGTGGGCCCCTAGAAAAATATTTCTAACTCCCTCTCACATTTAGCCTTCAAATTCTCTGTTCACATTCAATCCTGGTTGTTCCTTAGCAACAAGCCCAGTTCCCAGGTTCTCTCCTTTCTCTCCTGATATTTGCCTTCATGCTGAACACTTTTTGAAATGGCTGCTTAAATTAGGAGTTATCATTTTCTGGTCGAAACCCTCAACCTGTAGTTAAGCTGACCCACAGAAATACAAAAATAAATCAAGGCTATACAGAGTATGACCGTAAATCACATCATGAAATGGTTTCTGCTGGAAGGGACCTTAAAGATCATCCAGTTCCATCCCCTGCCATGGGCAGGGACGCCTCCCACCAGAGCAGTGCTCCAAGCCCCATCCAGCTGAAAACCTCTTGTTTCTGCCCTCCCTGCCCAGGGAGCGTGGCTGTCACCCTGAGGGAGCAGCAAGGCTCAGAGGTGGGCACAGTTAAACAGCCCAGTGCTCCTTCCTCACTCTGAGACCTCTCCACGGGAGCTGGTGAGCCTACACAGACACATCCACGGGTTTTCCCTGTGAGCAGGAGGCACACCCATCGCTGAGGGTGTCTGGGGGCACCTTGTCCCCAGCTCCCACCAGCTCTGCCAGACTCTGGGACCTCCCCGACGCTCCTCCTCACCTCGGACCAGTTCCCCACGGCCCACTGGGAGGGACAGGGCACGTCCCGGTGACAGGGCGCGGTGGCATCGGGCTTGGGGAGGTGCTGGCAGGCTGCAGGCTGCAGGGCCCTCTGCTCGTCCAGCCCCACGCTCTGGATGCACAGCACTGTCCTCTTCATCAGCCCTGAGCTGCCACACGAGGCCGAGCACTGCTGCCACTCCCCGACCCACCACCTGCACAGGGACACGACAGGGAGGGGAAAGGGACGGGAAAAGGGGAAGGGAAAAAGGAAAGGGGAGAGGGAAAGATCTCAGCCAGAGCCAGCACCCACATGCTGGGCTCCATCCTGTGGCCCATCCCGTGGGGCCGTGGGGGAATGAGGATCCCAACTGCAGCCTGTGTGTCAGCCCAAGGTCAGGGAGCCCGGATGGAGGGTCAGGGTTGGGTCAGTCCCCGAGTTGTGCCAGGGATGGTTCTGTGCACAGAGAGGAGCGTCCTGCCAGGATGGGACCTGCTACGCAGCTCGTAGCCTGAGGACAAGCAACACCCTGCAGCTGTCAGGCAACCCCAGGGATGCTCTCATGGGCCAGCACAGGGTCTGGGATCCATCCCTGTGGATGAGTGAGAGGAGGGGTGTGAAGAGCTGCACACATCCTGGGGCAATCTGGCACGGCAGTGACCGGGGTCCCCCCACTCTGGTCACCCCCCAGGGCCGTTGGACACTAAGGATGAGCTGAGGAGGGGTGGGAAGGGGAGGGTTGGACCTGGCTGGGCAGGGCTCCTCGCTGCAGGGGCGCTGCTGGTCGTCGGGGCGGGTGAGTGCGTCGCAGAACCGCTCCTCCACGATGCCAGCCAGCTTCTCCACACAGTGCACCACCTGCCGCTGCACCCCTGCGGGCATGGACACGGGCACGGGCTCTGCAGGGGCTTGGGAAACCAAACCACCCACACAGGCACCGGCTCCGCTTTGGAAACCACACCAAACCACCCAGCACCCTCTGCCAGCAGGTGACAAGAGGCCCTTGGTAAGTCTGAGCCACCAAAACAGGGGAAAGGAAAGAACCACTTGAAGCTGCAGACCCAAATGTGCCGAGGTTCCAGTGCCCTCGCAGAGCCCCGTGGCACCAGTGCAGCTGGGGCAGGAGGGGTGACTGTGGAGGTGCTGCACCGGCCTGGCAGCGCTGCCCAGAGCCCCATCCAGCCACAGGAGCCTGTGTGCACAGGGGATTTTGGGGGGCTGTGTTTGAAGGGAGCCAGCAGGCAGCACTCAGCTCTGCTGGCAGCCCCGCCCCACCACAGCTCTGGGACAAATCTCTGGCTGAAGCCTTGTGTCCTCGAAGCACTCAGGGGTGATGTGTTTAGGGGTGACCTCACCACGCTGCCTCGATCCGGCTTTTGGCCCCGTTTTTGTAACACATACTTGACCTGTGCCTTGGAGAGCTGTCACCGACCCGCTGCCACCAGCTGAGACTGACAGAGCCCTGCTGAGGCTGCTGAGCTGGGCTCTGGCTCAAGCACTTGGGAGCTTACAGGCCCCTGGGGCTGACCAGAGGCTCACCCTGAGCTCTCCCAAATCCATGTCTCAGCTCACTCCATCATCCAGCCCAGGGAGAGGCTCAGCCCTCCTCCAGCTGCTTACCCTCACCCGACTCCTGCCAGATTCACTCCTGTATTTCCCTTCTGTTCTGGAAGGCAAGCACTCAAATCGTGCAAAGCAAAGCTGATTTTAAATAAAAGCCATCTCCTGGCACTCTGTGCTACCTAGAAAGCACGAGTGTCCTTGAATTCCCCTTTCTTCCAGTGCCAGCCGCTCTCAAGGAAGTGCTTGCTCCCCCTGGCAGTGTGCCAAGAACATCCCATTCCATCAGTTGCCCCAAAAGCTGCTCCGGGGACCCCGGTGGTGCAGCGGGGCAGGATGGAGGGAAGCGAGTGTCTGACACATGGAGCCACAGCAGGCACCTTCCGTGTGCTCTCTGTAAAACCCTGGACGTGCTCCCCCACGCAGAGGCCCAGCCAGGCGGTACAGCAGCCCTTCCACACTCCCGGATTTCTCTAAAGGTCTTTTGTCTCCCTCCCGACGCCGAGGAAGGCCGGGCGGTAACAGGACACCCCCGGCGGTAACAGGACACCGCGCCGGGAGCAAAGCGCTGATAAAGCGCCGGGTCCCGTGGGCGCCGCGGGGGCAGCGCAGCCGTGACCTCGGCAGATGGCCCTTTTATTTCCCCCCTAAGACCCCCTGAAACCAAAGACCCGGGAATTCCTAAGGGGTCCCTGGGGATGCTCCACCTGCTCCAGCTGCCACTCGGCGGGGCGGGGCTGGGTGCGCACTCACCGGTGCCACACGTGGCCGTGCAGGTGGTCCAGGAGCCGAAGCGCCACAGGAACTCGGGCTGCTCGATCTCGTTCTCGCTGTCGGCCGGGCGCTGGATCGTGTACTGGTACCGCACCCCGGGGTTGGTCTCCTGGAACAGCAGCTGGGGGGACAGGGGCTGGTCAGGGCAGGGGGCGGGGGGGTGGCATCACACACACCCTGGGGGCTCCCCGGGGAGAACGACCTGCCCAGCACGGCCAGAAGTGTTCAAGGCCAGGTTGGACAGGGCTTGGAGCAACCTGGTCTAAGGGAAGATGTCCCTGCCTGGAGGAATTCCCTAAATTGCTGGGAACAGGCTCCCGCTGCTCCTGCGGTTGACACAAGTCCTGACAAAGCGCCTCCTGCACCCACGCTGGAGAGGGCCGGGAGTTTACCCCTGTTTTTCTTAGCCTAAGCACTCCCATTATTGCCAAAGCTTTGTTGTTCTTGGAGCTTTGGCGGAAGCCAGGGCGTCTTTCCAAAACCTCTCCATGAATATTGAAACATTCTTGTCCAAAAGCTTTAATTAGGCTACGAATCCCAGAAAGTGATTCGCGGGTGCTGAGCGCACCAGGAGCGCGCCAACGTTCCCATTAACAGCAGCTCTTGAAGGCAGCGAGCCCAGGATCCCGCTGCTCAGCCACTGAGGAAGGAAAGGGTTAGGGAAGGAGAAGATTTTGGCTGCTCAGGGAGGCCAAGCTCCAGGAGAGCCTGTGCAAAGGGGCTGGTGCTCTGGAGAGTGTGTCGGGATGAGCCATCACCGCCGGGCAGGGGAGGGTCCTGGGGGTCCATGGGATGCAGCTCCAAGGCCATCACTGCCCCTGCACCACACCTGGCACTACGAGGGGTTTCAGCCTGGAGCTGGCTGTGCCATCCTCTGTGGGATGATTCCCACTGGCTTCTCCAGAGCAAAGCTTGGCCCCACGGGCACAAGGATATTGACTCCCAACAGCTTTGCATTAACTGGCAGATCCCTCACCCCTGACCAGCCCAGCCAGAAGCACCAAGGGCTCTTCCCCTGCTCTTGATAAGATATGGGAAGGGCCTCAGGAAACGGCTCTTTCTCCTCACGCTCCCTCTCCCGTGTAAATATTTTGAGGAAGGCGGGAAGGGGACGAGGCTCAGCTGGAAGTGCTGTGGGCTGGAAGCGCTGACCGGGCCGGTGGCGTGTGCTTGGCTGCTCCAGTGTTGGCTCCCGGAGAAACACACTCAGCCAGGAGATGCAGAGCCCCATCCCCTGGATGCAGGGAAGTGCTGTGACAGACTGTGGCAGCTCAGCCCTGCCCAGGAAGGCAGGAGATCCGGGGGCTCTGTCCCCCCATCCTCCCTGCAATGTATCCCATCGTACCTGGATCCACACGGGCTCCACAGTGGGCCCCGGAGAGGTGAGATTCTCCCAGTTCCCCGTCCTCTTGTAGGTGAAGGTGGTCCCTGCCACCCTGTAGTCCCCGTTCCACTGGATGGTCCAGCCACCATTCAGGAAATACTTCTCTGGGTTCTCGCTCCGCAGCGCCAGGAAATTCCCGGCTTCTGCGACTTCTTCAATCCGGATCTCCCGGGCTCCCACAGGGATAATCCCAATATCAACGTAGCCTGGGAATGGAACCGAGCATTGGTCTTGGGGGAGACGTGGGAGAGACAATTCGTGCCCTTGGGTGGATGAGTGTCCCCTGGGTGGGTGTTGTGTCCCCTCTGTGGGTGCTACTGTCTCCTGGGTGGGGGCCAGTGTCCACTGAGTGCCAGCATCATCCCAGTCCTTACATCTCTGTAAGGCACCCATGGGCACCAGACCCCACCTTGCACTGAGCCCAGCTGCATTCCCCGCTGTCTTAACCCAAAAAACCTGACAAACTGGGATTAAAAGCTTCCCTGGGAATGAGCAGCAGCAGCAGCAGCGGCAGCAAGCCTGGCTCTGCATGGACCAGGCACTCAGTGTTTTGGGGACAGTGCTGTGCCCTTACCCAGCCCCTCGCTGTCCTCGAAGGTCTTGTGGACGGTGTGGCAGGTGGAGCCGTCCCCGTGGCAGACCCCACACCGATCCTCCACCGCGTGCGAGTCAATCTCGTAGTCACAGCCCACGTTCTGCAAGGGACCCCCGTCAGCCCCAGGGCTGGGGACACCCCCGGCTCCCCTCCCACCCCTGCGAGTCCCAGGGGCACGTGGCTGTGAGCTCTAATGCCTCCCACGTGGGACTCTGCCCTGCAGACCACAGACCACCACCCACTCCCTCATTTAACAGAAATCCAACGTCTTCACATGTGCTTATTCCATCCCAAACCCTGGGACAGTTTCCCTAGGCAAACAGATAAAGGGATCGGTTCACTGCCACTAAAGGCAGCTGGAGGACCCAGGGCACAGCTTGGCAAAGCCTCCCCAGCCACACCAGGATCTCCCAGACCATTTATTTGCAGCATCAACTGCACCATCTCCAACGGATTTGTAGAATCCTGGAGTGGTTTGGGTTGCAAGAGACATTAAAGACAATCCAGTTCCAACCCCCCTGCCACGGGCAGGGACACCTTCCACTAGACCAGGTTGCTCCAAGCCCTGTCCCACCTGGCCTGGGCTGTGCTCTATATCCTTGGGGCAGCACAGAGGCTGGAACACGTGTGTACGACACCCCCCAAGGAAATCAGGAACACTTTCCAAGTGGGGAATGACAATGGGAACCACCTCAGCACGGGAGGGAGGGGACGCTGGTTCCCCAAGGGATGGGTCACGTGTTTTCCCAGGCAGGGCCGTCCTTGGGCTGGCTCCCGGAGCACGGGACCCACCTTGCAGATGCCGTTGATGCACATGTCCCGGCTGGCGTCCCGCTCGTAGCACGGCGTCCCGTCCACCACCGCGTCCCGCAGCTTCTCCGCAAAGTACTCGTGCTCCGGCCGGCAGTGCAGCTCGCAGGGGTTAACTGGGGAACCCAACAGGTACACACTAAACCCCGGCAGCAGCGGGGGCAACACACCTCAACCCTGTGAGCCCAGTGGTGTCAAACACTGCAGGCGAGTCTCGGGCACAAACAGCACTCGGACCCTCTGCGGGACCGCGTTTGACGGTTTCTGTGTTTGAGGTCTCTGCCCTCCACTCACTGTTGTTGGGCACTGGTGTCCACTTGTAGAGCTTCCCTTTGTAGAGCATGGGGTTGAACTGGCTGCACTGGACCTGGCGGAAGGAGGGCTTGTCCAGGGGGCACAGCCTGACATTGCAAATCCGGAACCGCTTCCGCTCCCCCAGGCAGTAACGGCCCCCGTACTTCGGCCTGTCCAGGGGCAGGGAAAGGCAAATCAGGGAGGGTTTGGATGAAAGAGACTTCAGAGTCATGGAATCCTGGGAGGGTTTGGGTTGGAAGGGACTGTAAAGCCCATCTTGTTCCACCCCCCTGCCATGGGCAGGGACACCTTCCACTATCCCAGGTTGCTCCAAGCTCCATCCAGCCTGGTGCCTGCCCTGCAGCTGCTCTGGAGGAGCTGCTCTCCATCCCACCCAGGATACCCCTCCAGCTCTGCTCCTCTACTGCCCAAGGGAACAGCAAAGCTGCCACTGGTCTTTTTAAACTAAGAGGGACTTGAAAAGCCACAATAATTTTCTCTCAGGTTCCTGCCACGCTGCCTTTTCCTTTGGCCACACCACTTTCCATGGCCCATGTCCCCACGACCTCATGAAAATTCCTTCTCCAGGACACACTTTGCTGAAGAGAATGAAGTTAATGATTATTTTGGGGCTGTGTTTACATGCCCTGCCCCGAGGGAATGTCTGTGGGAGGAGGGGTGCCCAGCACACACGTTTGCTCACTCCATCCCAAAGGCAAAGCTGGAGATTTACCTCCAGTGGCCAAAGCAAACAACTGCCCGGGAAATTCCGCTACTTTCCCAGTGTTTGCTCTCCCTCCTGTCCACAGCTGTGTTTGGAACACTCCATAAACTACCACAGCACTTCTGCCACGGAGCTCATGTCAAACCAGACCTGGCTCTTGACCCGGGTCTGAGACAACACAGTACTTCCCTCAACAGCCCCACAGCACGTGCCAAACGTGCCCCAGGGAGAGGATGGGCAGAACACATGTCTGGGCACATCAGGAGCCCATTCCTGGGGCTGCCAGGGCTCCTCATGCCATGGAAAAGCAATTCCCCTGGATCATCACTCACAAAGCCCTTTTTCTCTCCATCCCAGGGCGCTCCAACTCCTGGGCAAGCCGGGGCATTGGGCTGAATCCTGTGCAACAGCGATTTGGTGACCAAGGGGACATCTGGGGAGCAGATGGATCAGCCCTGAAATCATGGGATGGAGAAGGAAGCTCCTCTGGCACTGCCCGGATGCTTCCAGGCGGGAGCCAGCCATGGCTCATGGAATGCAGCAGGCTGATAAACTGCAGCAGGATTTTCCAAAACAACTCTGAATCAGGCTCCAAGAATGCCTGGTTTGCTGTTCTGTCACTAAAGGACACTGGAAGTGTTTTACATCTCTGAGTCTTTGCCCTTTGTTTGAGTCGCGGCAACCGCTCCCTGCCTGCACAGACCGGGAATGACCCTGGGAGGGAGCCAGAGCAAACCCGGCCTCTCCAGAGGCTCCCGGGGGTCACCCCAGGAAATAAATGCCCTGAGTGTCCGAAAGCTCATCGTTCAGACCAATAACTGCACGATGGCACAGCCTGGCTGTGTGACACAGCCAGGGTAGGACTGCACTGGACAGATGATGGCTCCTGGCTTTACAGGGAATAAGGAAGAGTTGGGTTCCTCTGCTCTGAAGCTAGGCTGGGAGAGCTGGGGGGTTCCCCTGGAGAGGAGAAGGCTCCAGAGAGACCTGAGAGCCCCTTCCAGTGCCTAAAGGGGCTCCAGAAGAGCTGGAGAGGGACTTGGGAGAAGGGATGGAGGGACAGGACACAGAGAATGGCTTCTTAGTGCCAGAGGGCAGGGACAGATGGGATATTGGGAAGGAATTCTTGTCTGTGAGGGTGGGGAGGCCCTGGCACAGGTTGCCCAGAGAAGCTGTGGCTGCCCCTGGATCCCTGGAAATGTCCAAGGCCAAGGTGGACGGGGCCTGGAGCAGCCTGGGATAGCGGGAGGTGTCCCTACCCATGGCAGGGATGGGATGGGATGGGATGGGATGGGCTGGGCTGGGCTGGGCTGCACTCACGTGGGGGTGCTGCAGTGCCTCTCAGCACTCTGCACTCCGGCCCCGCAGCTCCGGGAACAGGCAGCCCAGGAGCTCCAGGAGCTCCAACCGCCATCGATGGGCTCGGGCCGGTGACCCACAGGAACACACTCCCCGTTGAAGCACCACTGCAGAGGGACAGCAGAGAGAACAAGGCTAAGGATGCAGGAACTGCTGCCGAGTCTGAGAGCCCGGTGCAGGGTGCAGGGACACCCAGCACACACACACTGACCCACGGAAATCCATGTTTTGCTTGCACAGGGGTGCCTGGGGTCAGCTGGGCTCTGCCAGAGCCTGGAGCACCTCAAACAATGGGAAATACAGAGATGCTGGGCTGTTTGGGACTTGTCTGAGGTAACAAACCCAAACCTCCACTGAGACCCCTCATTAAGGGAATTCTCAACCCAATCTCAGCCCAGAGGGAAGAGCCAGTGAAGCTCAGAGGTGGGGAAGATCCCAGGGATGAGCATGCACCACCACAGCAGACAGAGAGCAGAACGAGCCTGGTGCTCTCCTGCCATGGTCATTAACTGTTGGCTTCACCTTCCCAAGGATTTTTAAGCTTCCCTGCAGGCAGCCCCTCCTGGGAGCAGCGGGTGTTTGGACAGAGCATGGGCAGCAGGATGAGCCTGTCCCTGTGCTGGAGCCTGTGAAGCTCCTCTGTGTGCAGGACAGGGGGTCCCTGAGGCCACAGAGGGGTCTACTCCCCGTTACCTTGTTGTCCCCACAGGCTGTGCCATCCACAGCCGCATCCAGCTTGGAATGACACGTGTTCCCCACCGTGCACCACAGCGTGTTGCAGACGCTCTGCAGGAAACAGGGTGTGCAGGACACGGTTATTGCCCAGCCAGCCCTCCAGCACAGATTTAACCCACAAGGAGAGGGTGGCCCCAACAAAGCCCCCACCCCAGAGATCCCGGAGCCCCTGCTCCGCGGGGGGATCCCAGCTTACATCCATGTCGTCGCAGAAGGTGGAGTAGGGGCCGTACTGCAGCCGGCACTGGTGGCCCACGTCGTACAGGACCCCCGGGGGCACCAGGGGGAAGTCCAGCACCTCCCGGGCTGGGGGGTCATCCAAGCACAGCCCCCAGCCCCGGCTGAAAGAGAGAGGGCAGGGCAGTGTCACCGGGGCAGCCGCCAGGGAGGAGCAACAGCTCATTAACGTCCCGCCGCGGTGAGGGGCAATTAGCAATTAGCAATTGTCCCTGACAGGACTCCTGCTCTGCAACCCTGGAGCCGCTCCAGCACCGACGGGCGCGTGTGGGTACCTGATTTTGGGGGCGGGAGCCCCCAGAGTGATCACCCCGCGTCCCCCGGGTTTGGCAGGACAGTGGGAAGGAGAAGGGACAAAGGCAGCTCCCTGCAGCCCCTGGGCTGGTGCCTCCCTCCGCTCCCGCTGCTTCTGCTACGATACTTCCCAAACATGCACGGAGTTGTCACCAGTTCAGCCTTCAGTGTTGATTTAAACAAACCCGTTTCCAGCAAGGCAAAGCCTCTGGCGAGGCCGGGGCAGATTAGATTACTCGGGTTTGTTGTGATTGGGAACGGCTCTGAATTAACTGGAAACGAGATTCCTTTTTAACCCAAACCAGCAACATGGAAACAAGGGCTGGAAGCACGGGAGAGCTCCTGCTCTGGGGTGCTGGCAGAGCCATGGGGCGATGCCAGGCAGAACCAGCACCCCCTCCTCCCTTTCCCATCCCACCCAGTGAGTTCCACGCCGGACACCTGCAAACAGCTCACACGGCTGGAGGCAGCCCCCTAAAGTCCCATGTATATCCTTACTGCAAAATATTGTATGTCCCTATTGGAAAATTCAGGAAACAGGTTGATTTCAGCAGCCCAGAGGCTTGAGAGCCTCATTTCCAGATTCCCAACAGCAGGAGCATCCTGCCTCTCCCAGCCCAGTGGGAAGGGAAGGATGGCAGTGGGTGATGCAGGACTGAGCCCAGATGGATTGGGCATGGATTGGGCAGCTGGACACAGTGTCAGGGTGCAGCCTGCTCCAGGCACACAGGGGGTCACTGCATGGCACCCCCACAGCTATTTCCATTGAATCCCAGAATCCCAAAATGGTCTGAGTGGGAAGGGACCTTAGAGCCCATCCGGTCCCACCCCCTGCCATGGGCAGGGACACCTTCCACCAGCCCAGGTTGCTCCAAGCCCCGTCCAGCCTGGCCTTGGACACTTCCAGGGATCCAGGGGCAGCCACAGCTTCTCTGGGCAACCTGTGCCAGGGCCTCCCCACCCTCACAGCCAAGAATTCCTTCTCAATATCCCATCTAACCCTGCTCTCTGACACTGGGAAGCCATTCCCTGTGTCCTGTCTTCTTTTCCCTTGCCCTGTTTTCTTTATCTGCTGGTGGAAAACACTTGGAGTATTTTCTTTAAAAATGGAAGGAATGGTGTCTGCACTGGGAGAAGTCCAGGCTTAAGCACTTCATCCTGGTTGAGCCACATGTGTGACACTGGTGCTGCTGTGCCTGTTTGGGTCCCACATGGGGCCCCACGTCCCCCCCAGACTGCCCCAACCCTCCTGCCCCCTGAGGTGCTCAGGGCACTCCCTGTGCTCCCTGTCCAACCTGGGGGTGACTGAGACCTGCACCAGCTTTCCAGTGCTCTGGTCAGAACCTACTTCTCCATGAAATGCTTTACAATTGTTCTACTGGTCTCTTCAATTGGCCAAAACACATCTGTAAGCCAGGAAAAGTTGGCCTGAGTTTCCCTCTGGCTTTGCAGGGATCTGCAGTAAATCCACTCCGCAGGGAAACACGCAGGGGTCTGAGCTGCCTCTGCCTGTTCCAGCCCTTCCCTAACGAGCTGGATGATGGAGTGGATGGAAGGATGATTAAATCCCCATCTGTGAGCAGGCTGGGAGGATCTGCAGATACATTTGAGAGCAGGATTAAAATTCCAAAAGCTCTGAGAGAACTGGAGGAAGGGTCTAGAAAGAGTCAGGACAGAATTCAATAAAAACAAAGGCAAGGATTGGAGCGATTGGAGCTTGGGCAGAATCAGCTGCACAACCAGGAGCTGGTGGAGCTGGCAGGAGCAGCCAGCCCCGGGCCCTGGGAAGAGGAAGATGATGGAAGAAGAACTCCAGCACTGTGGAAAGAGGCTGAAAAACTGGTGGTTTGATGTAGAGCAAAGACTGAAGGGAGAAGGGACAGACTGCAGCTGTGCCAGGGCTGCAGAAATGAAGGGAGGCTGCTCCATCCATCCCGGGATCAGGGTGCAGGGAAGGCATCCATGAGACACCAGATCCTGTTTGACAAGGATATTCCACCAGCTGGGCTGGGAAAGAGCTCGTGCCATGGTGAGTGGGGGGAACAAAGAGCCTTACAGCATCCTGCAGTGGGGAGAGGGGAAAATCCCAGAACTGCTGCCTGTGCTGGCATCCCACATCAGCCTGAGCCAGGGATGGTCCTTCCCTGGGGACACCACTGCCACAGCAGGGAAGGGACCTCTTCCAGTGCCCCTGGGTGTCTGAGCGGCCCCTGACCCAGGAGGGTCTCCAGCCCTGGCTGCCCTGCAGTGCCAGGGCTGTGCCACTGCCAGGAATCACTTGGAGATCCTTAAACACTCAGCAGTGCTTGTAAAATAATAATCTTCTGTACAAGAATAATAATCATCATTTGAGAGTGGCTTTTCTCCAAACGTGAGGCCTGTTCCAAGCACAGCCAGCAACCCCAGGTCAGCAGGGTCCCATTTTCTGGCTCACTCCTTCCTGTCCTCCTGCCAACACCACATCATAACAACTCATGTCTGTGCTGGCCCCTGGCCTCTCTCTGGCCTCGGGGATGTCACAGCCAGGGACAGATGCCTGCTGGCTTCCTTCTGAAGGAAGAGCTGCCCCTTCTGGGGGGGTAAAGAGACCAAAACCCAACCAGAGGAGCACCCAGCTGCTTTGTCTCTCCCCCATCCCAGCTCAGAGCAACCCAAGGTCATCACAAGCAGGAAATTCTAAATGCAAAAGTGAAGGTTAAAAGCAGAGGGCCAAGAGCACTCCAGATACAGAAAGGCTCCATTCCTCTGAAAGCCATAAATCAACAATAATTCCCCCTGCACAGGGCCAAGCCCACATGTCCCAGGCTGGGGTTTAGGAGCAGGAGTTCAGCCCTGGCAGCCTCCCCACCACGGAGCACCAGCCCCTCATCCAGCTCTCCCACTGCTGCTCCTCATTGTTTTCAAACCTTCCTGTAGCAAGGAAGGAAAATGTTCCTCCAGTGCAAGTTACTGACAGATGTAAATCTCTGGGCTGTGTTCCTTGGAACTTCATAACAACAGCCTGAAAAATCAGTCCTGGGTGCTAAAAATAAACAAACCCGGGGAGGAATCTGGCTGGGTCTCGTTTCCCCACGTGATGCCTCCTCAGGGTGACAACATCCAGCCCGTGCAGGGACTGCCGAGAGCATCGAGGAAACCACTCTGGCTTTGCCTGTGCAACCACAGCCCCTGTGCCACCCAAACACTCCTGAGCCCCCTCCACAGCACGGGTGAGGCAGCCCAGGGAGGTCATGGAATCATAGAATGGTTTGGGTGGGAAGGGACCTTAAAGCCCATCCAGTGCCACCCCCTGCCATGGCAGGGACACCTTCTACCATCCCAGGTTGCTCCGAGCCCCGTCCAACCTGGCCTTGGGCACTCACAGGGATGGGGCAGCCACAGCTTCTCTGGGTAAAGACCCCGAGATGCTGTTAGACAGAAGCTCTTAGAGGTAGAAGCATCCCCCTGTGCCCTGGCCCCGAGCTCCCCCAGCACGCCCAGCGAGGAAGAAGAGGAGGAAGGACTTACTCGAGGAACCGTGTGATGTACTCGCGGCTGCAGCGGGACCAGGTGAGTGGGGACGTGTCATACAGGAGCTGTGGAGACATGATGAAAGGTCTTTTCCCAACTGGCTCACAGTCATTGCTGCTTCCATCATGCTGAATCCCAAAACTGTGTAAGAGCACAGTCCCACAGAGGGGAGATGAGCCACGGCCACCACAACCACGCAGCCGCCGCCTCCCGGCACCGCGACACCGGACACAGCCCTGGCACAGCCCCGGGGACACGGGCAGGGAGAGGGCATCCAGCACCAGGGACAGGGCAGGGACAGGGCATCCAGCACCATGGGGACATGGGCAGGGACAGGGACCTGGCCCTGAGGGATGTTTTACTGATACCAAGGACACTGCCCCCAACTTTGTCCTGTGCTTTTATTTCCCACTGAATACTCAGGAATATTGAACAAGATCATCTAATTAAACTTACTGGTGGGTGTTTTCCCCCACACAGATGTCTATTGGGAACTATGGTGTTCAAGTGATCTTGTCAAAATTTGATTGAAATCTGTTGCTGATTCTACAGACAGATCCTGTTTTAAAGCTGCTCCAAAGCCTTCCCAAACTAGCACAGGGTAATACATAAACACAATTTGTCCAGGTTGACTTGGATTATGTGGTTTACATTAAACATAGGGCAACCAAAAACTAAACTCTGGAATGAAGTCCCCGGGGGAGAAAGGAGGGGTTGCAGCAGTGAGGAACCACTGGGAACCTTCTCCCAACCTCCCCTCGTGCCTTGTCCAGCCCTGACTGAGCAGTGCAGAGGAAGAGGAGGAGGAGAAAGCTGGTGGTACCTGTGTCCGAGCTCGTGGGCCACGGTGAAGGCCAGGGGCAGCCCCGTGTCCTCGTTGATGTTGCAGCTCCGGTGGGGTTGGCACATCCCCGCCACGTGGGACAGCCCCAGCGTCTCACAGGGCCTGTTCATGGCAGCACAGATGTCCTTCCTTGGGCGACAGGGACAGACAGACAGACACAGAGCAGAGAGGGCGTTAGAAGGCGGCAGGACAGAGTGTGGGACACAGCCCAGACACACGGACAGCGGCCAGACAGAAGTGAGAATGGAGCCATCCAACGGCCACAATGGAAACACTGACGACCTCTCCTTTCCCCTTTCCTCTCCCCGTATCCCCAGCTCATTGTTGAGCCTGATTAATGGGAACTGCTGGCTGCGTTTATTCCGTTGTATAAATAAAACCGATGCTGGAATAATAAAGCAATTCCTATGGGGAAGCACAGCCCAGGGGTGCTGGGGTCCAGGGCGGCTCCAGCCATCCAGGAGGAACAACTCCATTAAATACAAGGCCTGAAGCACCTCATTTCTGCTACAAAGCAACTTCCCAGAGAAGATAAAGCTGTTGTGGGTTGTGAATCATCACCCAAACCACCACAACGCTGCCAAAAGCCAAGGCACGGCAGCCTGAAACCCTCAGAGCAGGGCTTGACTATAAGGTATATAAACTTGGCCAGAGCCATGAATTCCTGTTGGCTCCATGGGAGGTCAGGGGCTTCCCAGAGGCTCCTCTGCCAAGCCCAGCCTCCAGGAAAAAAAGGAGAGTTAATCCCTGTGTACAACTCCTGGGAGGATCCAGCCGCTCTGGGGCTTGGCAAGAGGGCCACGGGGAAAACCTGGTTTGGAAACTTCAACTGGAAACCTGAGATTTGAGACCAGTTCATAGAATCAATGAGCCCTGGAATGGTTTGGGTTGGAAGGCACCTTAAAGCTCATCTCATTCCAGCCCCCTGCCATGGGCAGGGACACCTTCCACCACAGTTCCAGCTGTTAGGAGCCAGATATCTCCCGATTTCATGTTCCATATCTTAGGTGCAGGTGTCCAGGCAGGGCTCAGGCATGGACAGTGAGGTTTCACCAGCTCCCCCCGGGATGTTCCTCTGCCTGCCCCTCTACCTGCAGCCAGGGCAGGTTCTTCCTGACAGAGCAGCACCTACAGCAGCACATCAGGAGGACACAATACCTGGTGAGCAGGACGGCGACGTCGTGGTGCAGGGGATGGGAATCTCCTTTCACATTGATGCTCTTCTGCCACTTGCAAAAGCTTTTCAAGGTGTTATCTGCATGGTGAGAGATCTTCAGGTCCTCCTGAAAGAGAAGAAGCCTGCTGTCATATCACTGCTGGAGCTGTTTGGGTTTTGGGGTGGAGAGGGGAGAGGTCTGATCTCAGACACATGGGAGTGGAATCGGCAGCGACTGCCATCCAGATGGAATTGCTCCATGTTTATAGGTTGTAGCCCGGGTGGGAAGAAAGTCCTTTTCCTGCTTTCTTTTCATCTGTGATTCAACCAAAACATGAAATCATCCAGTTATGGGGGTTAAGAAACACTGCAGGGAAATATCCCGTCCTGGCTGGGGGCGAAGGACACAGCTGGGAGCCCGTCTGAGTGGCCTCAGAGCCACCACTGCAGCTGGGACACGGCCACCCAGCGACCCACAGCCCTCTGCTCCCACACCCATGCTGAGTTAGCACAAACCATCCTAAAAATCAGACTCAGCAGCTCCTCTGGCCACGCTGTCCCTGACTCCTCTGGCCAAGACGAGGGCGCAAATGCTGGATTTCTCTTACACAAACTCCTCCAGGCCACACAGACGGCACGGGAGGGAGCCTGGCTTTCCAGGCCAGCTCCCAGTGCATCCCAGCCTGGCTTTCCAGGCCAGCTCCCACTGCATCCCAGCCTGGCTTTCCAGGCCAGCTCCCACTGCATCCCAGCCTGGCTTTCCAGGCCAGCTCCCACTGCATCCCAGCCTGGCTTTCCAGGCCAGCTCCCAGTGCATCCCAGCCTGGCTGCCAGGACGGGCCGAGTCACCCTGTTTGCTCTCACCTCCTCGTGCTCCAGCAGGATGAGCCGCACTATGGCGATGTTGATGGGGTTCCCGATGCTGGCGTGGTGGAACAGCCCCGCCACCTGTGACACGGGAATGCCAAGGAAACACGGCTCAGGACAGAGCCCAGCCCCGGGACACGGCTGCTGGCACGTCCCTCTGCAGGAACAGGAGCTCCAGGGGAAGCTGCTGGAGGCTGTTGACATCTCGGGGAATTCCCCAAATCAAGGCAAGAACAGACACGGGCCTGGACCGAGGCCTGTGATGATTTCCATTTGCACTGGATATGATCTGTGCAGAGGCTGGAACTCATCCCGAAACGCCCGGGGAACCCCTCTGCTCTCACCAAGAGATGTGTTTAACATCTCGAAGGAATTCGGTGCTCTCTGGGTGCCTTCACCACCCCCCAGAAATCCAGGGATGTTACCTGAGGTCCTCTGCCCAATCCCACCCTTTCCTGGCATCAGCCAAAGCTCTCTTCTGGAATGCAAAGAGGTGCTGCCCCAGCAGCAGAAGAGGGAACAGACTGAACCAACTCACCCTGACTTATCTGCTTCTCTGTGGCACCAGCACACTCCCCCACCACAATCTGGTGCTCCTGCCCAGAAAAGCTGTTCCCATCTCTCCTGCTAACCCAAACAGTGCCAGCTCTGGCACCAACCACCTCCCTTCCCTGGAGCATGTCTCTCTTTGGGGGACCTCCCTGGGAGGCCACTTCACCCATCCCATGGAGGGAAGCAGAAGGGAGCAGCCCTTGAGCCCCACAGGAAGGTGAAATGGTGTTGGCTGAGCTGCTCTCACCTGCACAGAGGTTTTGGCCTCAGGTTTGCTGCCACTCACCTGTCCTCCCGTGGGGTCAGAGCACTGAGCAGGGCAGCAAAGCCAAGGGGGGTGGGAAGAGCCTGAGTGGTGAGAGCTTTGCTGAGGTGCCACCAGGGATGAGTCCTGGCAAGCCCTGGGGTCTTCTACCCAGAGAAGCTGTGGCTGCCCCATCCCTGGAAGTGTCCAAGGCCAGGTTGGACAGGGCTTGGAGCAACCTGGGCTAGTGGAAGGTGTCCCTGCCCACAGGGGGGTAGAACTGGATGAGCTCTGAGGTCCCTTCCAAGCCCAACCATTCCCTGATTCCATGTGTCACACTATGGCTCTGCCCTGCCCGGCCAGGACTCACCATGTTCATCACGGTCAGCACGTACTTCTCGATGTTCTCACTGCCATGGAACTCCACCATCTTGGTGTCTGCCACCACCAGCGTTTCCACCCACTTCTCCCTGCTGATGGAGCGCTGCCTAATTCTTCTCCTCCTGTGCTGCTTCTGCTCCCACCGTTCCCTGCGCCTCTCAGACTGCTCCAGGCTTTCCTGAGATTCTGAGGGATTAGACGGGGGAAAAAGGTCTTTTTTTCTTGATGAAATGTCTGCAATTTTGATAAAATATCTTTTTTTTTTTTTTTTTTTTAGTTCAAAGGAATAACCTTTGGTGTGGAGAAGACTCCACACTTAGACCCATAACTTATGTGCATTTTGCTGTGCTCTGTGCTCCAGAAGACTCTGAGCTCAGTCTGCTGCACATGAGCGTGACAGAAAAACAAACAAAGCATTTGAAGTAATTTCTTTGACTGGAACAGGGCTTGCAATATTCCACAAGGAACACGGAGCCTCCCAGAGCAGAGTTTTAGGGTTTGTACTGACACAGGAATTTACAGGCAACCCTGCAGAGATGCTTGAGAAACAACCTGAGAAACCCTGAGAAACAACCCTGGTGGCTCAACATTTTGGATTATCATCCCAGACCTATATTTTTCAGGGAGGCACAGTTCCCAACAGGATAAGTTCTGTGCCCCCAAAGCTGGACTGAAGTCTTGAGCCAAATCCCACAGCCAACAGTGCCCTGGGCGAGCCGAGACCTGGCAGGACAGCACAGAGATTTCCTCAGGCACATGGAGACTGAACTCTGCTCCTTCCCAAGGAGAAACAACAGGAATGTTCAGTGGGCTGAGCAGAGGCCGGAGGCGGAGGAGAGCTCCTCACGCACACCAGCAACTGGGAATTCTCCAGCAGAGCCTTTCCCTGTGACGCTGCTCCAAGATCAAGGTCAGGGTCAGCCCCAAGCTGGGTGAAGGCTTTACAAACCTCATCCCACACAGTGGGAATCGCTTTCACGACCAGTTTGGGAGGCTCAGCCTCTCTTCCCTAACAATGGACTTTTACATTTTATGGACTATACTGTACGTTAGCTGTGAAAGGGCGTTTGATCCCCCAGCCTGAAAAATCCCAACTATCTGGATAATTTGATGAATTGCTAATACCACTGTGACAGTTTAATCGCAGTGGCTTCCTTGGAGCTCGTTTCCATTGTGTCCTTGGCTGCTGAGCTTCCAGCCAGGACGTGAGGGTACTGCAGAGCAGAGGGTGCCCAGGGGTCCCAGGGGGCTCGTGGGGCATTTTCCTTTGGGATGATCCCTCTCAAACACTCACCCAGCTGTACAGACAGGCTGCATCACGTACTGACAGAAGCTAAACAACACCCAGCAGCCCAGCACCATCTGGCTGTTGTGGTGCTTTGCAAAGCAAACCAGCAATACATCAGGGCAGGATGGAAGGGTGGCAGTAACTAAAATCCTACAGAATTTGGGATTCCTTTCCAGGGCATGCCCAGCACATCCACCCTGCTAGCCCTGACTGCAAGGGAGATCCACACGAGTTACACACCGAGAAATGAATTTTCAAGAATACACTTCAAAGTCAAGAATAGACTTCAAAGACTTGAAGAAGCCGTTAAGATTATTACCACAGATTAAATAATTAATTTAGATTATCAGAAGAATGCCTGAAGATAACCTGATCATAGCAAAAAACCCCCAGTTTCTGAAAGCAGAGAGCTCCAGGAAATAGCAAACCAAGGTGTGCTGCCTGGAAGGTGCAGCTTCACTGAGCAGTACAGTGCCCTTGAGCTGCTGGGGATGGACTGAGCCTCAGTACTTGAAATCCTGCATTTGGGAGTTTATCCAACCCATGTGCTCTGGACAGAGAAGGAGCCACACACACTCTCTGCCTGCAGCAGGAACTCCCTGGGCAGTGACCGGGTTTCACTCCCGAAGTCCAATGCCCCAGCAGGTCTAAACTGAAGTTTTCAAGGGAATGAAAGCAAAGGCTCAGCCTCCCCATCATCTCCCTGCTTGCAGCAGGGCTGGGAGGAGAGGAGAGCGAGAGGCACACGTTGGGGTTCAGCACACACTGAGTCACTGGTGGCACCAACACTGCCAGAGGAAGGGGCAGTACCTGGCACGCCGCAGGTTTCCCGGGGGGCTGGGGGGCTCCTGCCCTGCTCTGCCCCGTCCTTGGGGGCCTGGCGCTTGTATATCCTGTGGGGCTGAGCTGCCCCGTCCTCCCGGGGGCTGCTGGACACCGGCTCGATGAAATAGTCCTCGTTGAGGAGCCGGAACACGCCTTTCTGGCAGGAGAGACAAGGGGGCACTGTGAAGGCACCTGCATTGAGCACAGGGTTGCACTGAAGGGCCTGGGAGTGACCATTAGAATCACAGAATCCTGGAATGGCTTGGGATGGAAGGGATCTCAAAGCTCACCCCATTCCACCCCCTGCCATGGGCAGGGACACCTCCCACTAGCCCACGTTGCTCCACGCCCCATCCAACTTGGCCTGGAACACTCCCAGGGATGGGGCAGCCACAGCTTCTCTGGGCAACCTGTGCCAGGGCCTCCCCACCCTCCCAGGGAAGGATTCCCTCCCAATCTCCCATCTAACTCTGCCCTCTGGCAGTGGAAAGCCATTTATTCAAACACAGAAAGCTCAAAAAGCAAACACAGCCCCCACCTGAGAGCAGCAGCAGACCAAGGATCCCATGGAGTTGTCATCCCTCCAAACTGGGAGACACCAGCACAGGCACTGCTGGTGATCCCTCCCTCTGTCCCGTGCCCGTGCTGGGGGCACAGGGGGGTTCCCAACCCCAATGCCCCTATCATCCCATAGCCCCCCTCGGGAACGGGGATCTGCACATCCCCAGTTACGTGGTACCACTTCTGTGAACCCACAGGAGGTTTTACACCCTTCCCCCAAAACTGTTACTCTTCCACACTATCACCTTTGGCACAAGGCAGGGGAGAGTTCAGGAAACAGGGAGTAGCTTCAGTACCCACGAGCTGTGTTGTCATTAACACCTCCAGCTCCGAGCCCCTCACTGTGCTCCTCACAACCACACAGTTATGTACTAGAAGGCAGAGAATTGCTGTCTTTGGGAATTTGGACACAAACAAGGAAACACAGCCCCGGAGAGTTCCCAAACCACTGGAATCCATGGGAAATTTACAGTCAGCTCATCCACGGCCACATCAGACCTACGTGCTGGGATCCCGACCCTGCTGCCGCCGGGAGTTTTGCCGTCGCTTTCAGCAGAAAGGGGGACTTAGCTCCTCCTGTTTCCTTGTGGATTAAGGATCGTTATGGATCAGGGCTGTACTTACCAGGCCATCGCAGGTGCTGAGGGCAGCCAGCCCTCCCTCCGCCCGGCTCCGAACCTCCCCGATCATGTGGCAGGGGTTGGAGGTGTGCGGCTGGATCTTGGCGCCGGCGATGCCCCCGAACCGCCTCTCGCTGACAAAGCCCGGGGCCAGGAGGTTCCTGTTGAGGCTCAGGTTGAATTTCAGGGGTTGTCCTTTGTAATGCAGCTCGTAGAAGGCAGGGAACTTGCTCCTGGAGGCAGGAGACCTTCGGTGAAGGGCTCGGTGGGTCAGGTCGTAGGACAAGAAGGATCCGCTCTCGTCAACCTTGATGGGATGAACGATGTCGCTGCCCGGGGGCGGCGGGGGCGGCTCTGGGGAGAGGGGGCGCAGGGGTTACCTGCAGGGCTCCTCACCTGTCCTCTCCCACCCCTTCCTTCCGCTGGGTGAACTCCCGCGGCAGGGACCCAAACACCACTTGGATCAGGTCACTGGTGTCCACTGGGACGGCACGGAGCAGCGAAGAGCAGGGACCCCACCTGCCCCTCATGCCCTCGGGGGGTCAGGGCTGGGGTTTGCCGTGGGACAGGGTTAAGGTCAGGGTCAGGGATCGGGTGGGGAGGGACGGGGGGATCGGGCAGCTCCGGAGCTCCGCTCTGCCGGGGCTGGTCCCGGTTTCCATGCACACACTCCCGCTGCTAAACTCCAGCTGCCAATAAAAAAAACCACCAACCAAACAACGAAAAAAACCGCAAAAAATCAAATTCCATCTTGGAAACGGTGTTCGCACGCCGTCTCCGGGGGCAAAGCAACCCCTGGGCACTGAGCGCCCCGGAGCCTCCCCGGCTGGGGCGCAGCGCGGGAGAACCGGGAGAAGCCGGGGGGCACCGGGGAGTGCCGGGGGGAGCCGGG